AGCCTTTTGTTGTTGTTGTTATCTAGTTTTGCTGATAGTCTGATTTTACACGAATGGTTTAAAATGTATAATGAAAAATATGTATTTCAGATTTGTGTCTTATGCCTGATTTGAGTATTTGCAGAGCTATTATAAAGTAGGAGTCAATATTGATTTTTTAGAATGTGAGAATTACTCATGGGGACTTAAGACAAATAAGCAATTTAAATTTGCCTGTAGATAAAACTTTCCTGATAAGGAGGCTTGATGGCTACTTAGATCTCACCTAAGAGACTGGCATTCCTTTTTCTGGGATATTTAATTCCTGTGGTTTAGCTGTAACCCTACGTGGTAGCTGGACCTTGAATTTTTTGGTCCGATGCAAAATGGGAGTATTGTGAGACTGCAATGATTACCTTCCAAGTTTATTTAAATAATGGTTATTTAGAAATTGCAAGGAAAGAAGCAGGATAGATACATACAGTGTTTTTTCCTCTCACAAAAAACTAAAAGGGAAATATAGACATATTTTTAAGAACTTCAGTGAGCAGTGTCCTGTCATAACTAAAGTGGTAGTGAGAAGGCTGCCTGTGGGTGGAAACAGGAAACATTAGTGATAAACGTTGTGTTACGTGTTTTTTTTTTCAGGTTCAGCTTAATGTCTATTGATTCTAATTAGCACATTTTGTGCCTCAGCTATAGCTCCCCTCAGCTCTGCTTGGAGAGGTTTTTTTTAGCTTCATCCTGCTCACAAACACTGCCACCTCCTCCCTCCTTCTCTCTTTACAAATGTTACAACACAATCTGAAATTTCCTCTTTTCTTCCCTTCCTGCATTTTCAGCAGGTTCCCTTGCGTCAGAAGCCGGGAAAGAAAACTCAAGGTAATGAGATCGCTTTTGTATGCTCATCCCCTTTCTGCACGTGTGTGTTTCTTTTTCTCTTGGGTGCCTTCCTTGGGGTCAGCTGTTTGTCTGTCTTACTGTTAACGTCAGGAGGTGCACAGCAGATTAACGTTGGGTTATTTTGGGGTTGATTTTAAGAAATGCCGGGGCATGCTGTTCGTTTGGCTTAATCTCTTGTGGGGTGTCAGTAGGGCTTTGAAAGGCTGGCACGGGGTCAGAGAGTGGCTGTGTGTTTGGTGGGCATTAACCCTTTTCT